CGCCCCGGTGCCCTCAGAGTCCGGCACAGCCCCGACCCCGCTCTCCCACCCTCTGCCTATTCGTTCTTCATCCCCTCGGCGATGAGGTTGAGCTCGTAGCACCAGGTCTCGTAGCGATAGGCCACGCGGATCTGGGCCACGTTCGTCTTCCGGATGTCGTTGCCTTCGGGCCCCTCTTCCCGGTAGTTTTCGCCCAGGAATTTGACTTTCTCCTGCCAGGGGAATAGACAGGGGTGCCAAGCTCAGAATTCCTTGTTCGGAAAGGCTGGGGAGAAGCCCTGAGCCCACGGACGGCGCTGGTCCCAGGGATCACCGTGGGCAGGGACATTTTCCTAAGCAGTTATGTTCATTGATGTTTGATCTTTATGTACGTTCACGCCTAATCAGCAAGAAGGGAGATTTAATCCTGTGAAACAGCAGCCAACAAGCTCTGAAGTGATGTCCAGGTGTTAGAAAAATTACGTGTGGGTAGAATTGCCTTGTTAAGGTTTAGGGCTGGACGTGCTTTGAGCATCCCAGACCTACGGGGGAGGTTAAAGACTGGAGAGAAGGATGTACCAGTGATAGTGGACATGGGGAATGCAGAATTCGTGGGCTACGAGGACATTCGGGAAAAACTCCAAGGTAAGGAAGAAACTAACAAAGCCAACTCAGCAATTGTGCTGAAATCAGCTCCAGCTGGGTAAAAGATAATTCTGGCAGGGGCAGATCACAACCAGTGACTCACAGACCATCAACCCTAAAGAAGAGGAAGACTGAGCATGGGACTAATTAGCATGAGAAGTGAGAGAATCATTAGCCTATAGAAGCTAATTAATAAGGTAACTACGTAACTTGTAACCAATGAACGCTAATTCCTTTGTTTGCTAAAATGTATAAAAGGTTTTGATATCTGGTGTGCTGGATTTGTGGAATCCCACCGAGCACCCAGGGTTGTGCAGCTCTGAAATAAATAATAATTAGTAACGAATCCCAGTTTTTGTGGACAGCACCCACCTCGTGGGACAGGCCACACTGCAGGACGCTGTTCCTGGCGATCTCACACATGTCACAGGTGCTGAGCTTGAAGACCTG